CGTCAAAGATCAGCTCTTCGCCATGACACGGAAGTTGTCGTAACTTCAGTGTACATGCTCACATCTGGACCAAACTGTACATGTAGTATGAGAGTCCCGCCCTGAACACATGTACATGCTGACATTCACAGACAGTCATAGCGCCACCTGCTGGCAACAGGAAGTGACTTTTAACAAAGCAGCCCCCGCCGCACGTTTTACCTACGTACACGAATTTTCTGTGGTACGTGTATCTTGTCCGGACGCACAAAAAAGCCTCTTGGAGCGATGCCCTAAAATCAACAGGAAGTCGGCCATTTTGAATTTTACGTCAAATTTTGGATGATTTACACACTTCGTACTTTAACGAACTCCTCCTAGGGATTTAGTCCGACCGACTTCAAATTTGTGCTGTGCCTTCTAAAGGCATTGAAGATGAAAAGTTGTGGTATTTGCGAGTTTTCGTCAATGGGTGTGTCCGTGGCGTGGCGTCAGAGATCAAGTCTTCGCCATGACACAGGAAGTTGTTGTAACTTCAGTGTACATGCTCACATCTGAACCAAACTTTACGTGCTTGATAACTCTCCCACCCCACTATGGAGGACCGATCCTGACACAGTCAGAAATAAATACAGAAATAAATAAATGCTCAATAAATAAATAAGCATCCAATTAAATACACAAAAAAAATAAAGTAAATAAATAAATGTAGGTAGTAATTAAATTATACAAGGAGACATAAATGTATATATTTTAATTAGTGCCTTTACTTATTCACCTTTGTTATAATTACCTTATTTGTTTATTCAACTTTATTTATTACTAATTTTTTTAATGTATTTATTTATGTGTGTGTTTTAATATTTTTGTCTGTTTTATTCTTCCTTTGTATTTATTTACCTTATTTATTTTCACCCATGGTATTTATTTCTGCCTGTCTTAAATTTTTGTATGCATTTCTGCCTCATTATGCAAATGAGGAGGGGCTGTGTCTCAAGGGGTCATCTTCTCTGCTATTGGTGGACCAGTCAGACAGGAGAGCTCCTACTCTGCCTGCAGACATCAACGATCTTGCCCCTCACACAGTCAGATGGCTTCCTTCAGTGCGCTGAGGTGTTTAACAACTCTGAAGACAATACTACCAGCAATGTCTTCCTTCTCTTTTCACGTAGAAGCACCGACAGACAGTGCTTTCAGTTTGCTGCATGCATGGACACAGAACTGCGGTATAGGGAGAAGCACACGGTCAGCTGGCTGCAGCTAAATCTGGAGTGCACTCGTATTCAATTCTGTATGGTAAATTCAGTTTTAACGGAGCAGAGCGAGCTGACAGGCAGAGTTAGAGACTTTTTCTGTCTGTTTCTCTCTTTACAAAGACGCATGTTGCAGTCAGAGTCTTCTCTGAGATGCGAGCACGACATACAACACAATTTATCAAATTACACAACGGATATACAGTATGAAAATAAGATTGATTGGATTATACTCACAGGAAGTATAAAACCTCTTACATGGGTCTATTAAAAGTAAAGTAACACAAAAATGTCAGGGAAATTACTTTACTTAGATTTAAGTACTGCAGTTGTACATTTGAAATACCTTCCTACCTTTCTGATAGGAAGCCTTCTTGAGGTGGTATAAAACATTTCTTCTTATATTCTGATTTGAGTTGTGGACAACTATGACCACATGAATTAAAAAAACATTTCACTGCCCAAGTCAGCTATAACACAAGTCTTGATCATCAGACTACATGCTGTACAGTATTTGTGGACAGATTTTGTCCCAGGATTTATTATGCATTTCTTCTTCTTCGTTGCATGATTTAGAATAATAAGGTGAGAAATGGGTCTATTCTGAGTTCATCCTGCACTGCAGCAGCTAATAAAGTCCATTTAATCCCCAAAACGCTTTTCTTTTAGGCAGGCTGGAGCAGAAAACAACTCACCTTTCTCAAGTTGTACAGTAATGTCACATGTGTATGAAGGTGGATCAAAAGAGCTAATCTTAAATGTCAAAGTGGAGAGGAGCCTAGTAGGCCTATTTATTTTCATTCATTACACAATATGAATAAGCTATGCAGACAGTTGTAAAGAAAGAACATCTTTTTCTTCTGTTCTCTACTTGTTATAGTTACACAGTATTAGGGGTGTGGGCTGTATTAAAAGTATCCACTGTTCTCCCATGCTCTAACACACAGTAACGATGAAATGTGTGCTGTTCTCACATTCTTCCTCTGTATGTACACATAAACAACAAGGCAGGGAAATATAAAAGGAATTTATTTTATTGTTTGGGTACATTATTGTTCAGTGTACATGCTCACATCTGAAACAAACTTTACGTGCTTGATAACTCTCCCACCCCGCAGACATCTACACGTCAATACCGATTTATATTCATAGCGGCAAGTGCTATGTAGCTCCACATAGGGGACACAGGAAGTGACATATAGTACATTCATGCGGCGTCGGAAACGCGTAGGAAATTCACAGCCGCACCGGCAGAACTCCAGAATGTGCAACTCGGCCGGCTCACGCGCGGACGCGCTTACAAGTGCGAGGGCCCGCCCAACGCTGCTTGCAGCTTTAATTTTAAGTGTGTTTTTAGGGGTGACATTTTATGGTTCTGACAGGAGGCCCTGTCTTTTCAGTAACTCTTTTTCACACCTAATCTCTTCTGCGCATTTTGATATATTGCTCAAGGGCATCTTGGCAGCATTAAGTGTTGAAGAAAGAAGTTAATTTTCCTTTTCCATGGCACAGTTGTTGTTTTTTTTGGGTTTTTTTTGCCAGCTCAAGCAGTGATTTGAACTTTTTGCTTTCATGTCTAAGAACTCCTGTTTACCTTGATTTGGTGCAGACATTGTAATGAAATATGTTTTTTTTATTTGATTAAACCAAATTTTCAATTAAAAACATCTGGAGTGATCTGTTTGCACTAAAGGCATTTTTTCCAGGAGTCTGCAGGAGGGAGTGAAATTACGACCACATGAACCACATGCCAAATGATGTAATCTTCCCTGAGGTGCTAATGTGCACATTTGGGCAAACAAATTTTTTCCACAAGCAGATAGTGATATACCTTTGTGTGTCTATTTACATGTGTTTTTCTTTCCTTCCATGTATACATACAGTTTGGTCCATGCGTTATTTTTTTCTATGTAAATACTTGTGCTTTTTTTTTTTAAACTATTGTTTTTGCATTTTCAACATGCTTGCTTGGGGACTATTTTTCTCTTCTCTCTCTTTACCATTTGCTCTCGATCGCACAGGCATTAGTTTGTAGTTGCATTGAGAAAAAGGCGTCAGTGCTGCTAAGAGACAGTGACCTCACCTGCCAGTGAAGTAGCCACTCCACTCTCTTCCATCTGCAGCTACTGATGTAGTTGAAAAGAGACCTGCAGCGCTTCCAGGGCCCTGATTGGCATCAACTGGCTTTACAGCCATTTTAGTAAAAAATACATTATCTTCCTAAAGGTAACCTGCACTACGCAAGCTAAGCCCTAATTTGTGGCCACTACTGTGACTAGAGACACGTTCAGGGCAGTCAAAACACTTTTCCTCTGCAACGTTATTTCACTGGCAGAGGAGAGGGGATAATGATCACATAAATTGGAGCATTATTCTTTATTTGTCCTGTGCTTTTCTGTTAAATTACAGAGTGCTTTTGAGACATTAAAAGCAACAATAAATAAAAAACGGTATGGTTAAGAGTGCAGATCTTTGCAGGCTGGAAGAATTAAAAAAAATCATTTAAAGTAAATAAAAGACATAAATAACAGATCCTATTTCTATACATTTCTGCTAACAGCCCTGATACATCCCAAACCTCAGTAATCACACATTAGAACCTAAATTACAGCATTTAACTCCCAATAAAAAGCACATTTTTAGAAAATGATAAACATTATGGAATTGAAATGGACACACAACCCCAGTGGAGTCAAAGGAAATAAAAGAGATACACCTGGCATTATGTGCCATTTACATTTTTACTAAACACAAATCACACATGTTGCAGGATTAGGGCTGCCAAGGAAGTTCATAATGCATATGTAAGTAAGCTGGCTGTCAAGTGTGATTTGCAGCAGAAATGTCTAACAAAAAGTATCACTTTGATAAATACTGGAAGAATAAAATGAGTAAATGAATTTGGTTTCTTGTGTCAAGAACTCATTTATCATGGCACTGAGCACTGGACAATGCATCCGATCATCAGAACAGTAAAAACGCTTTTAAATGCACAAACAAAATGAAATGTAGGAAGCAATCCTGTTTTCCTGTGTGTCTGAACCGTTTGGTTTGCTGCGCCAGGAAGCAAGCAAACGGAGGCGGACTATCTTCAGTCTTGTCAGCAGTCTAAACGGGACTAACTGTCTGACAGGTGATGAGAGGTGGCAGCAGCAACGCGAAACTGACGAGCTGTCATGCAGTATTTTCCCCTGGATATCGGTTTGTGGAGAGCTGCTGCCTGTGTTCATCTGCAGGAAACTTACTGGGGAGAGAAGTGGATTGGCTCGCTTCAATTGTTTTTGTGAACAAGATCTTGGTTTCTCTTCTTTGTTCTATAACCTCGTTTTCATGCCTGGCAGGTTTTTATTGTTCATCTTAGAAAAGCTTTAATTTTTCATTGGTGTATTGACTCTAAAGCACTTGGGAACTCTTATTAAAAAGTACCACAGAAGTGAATTTTATTATCACTAAATGTTTTACGGCTTCACTGTATCGCATACTTTGAGCCTGTAAAGAACGTGTCCTTCCACCGGTTATTGATATAAAAACTAAATGATATTTTCTGTCAATGACAGGGAAGGAAAATAACTTTTTCTTCTTGCAGCCACGGTGCCTTGTAAATTCTCAAATTCAAAAGTCGGCAAGATGTTTGATAGAGTAATTGTTATTTTCAATCTGTACCTCCCACAGGAAAAGTCAACAATGCATTGATGCTGTCTTAACAATGACACCCCTTCAAATTCAAAGACAAAAAATAGTAAAGGATCCTGTCTTCGTCCTCTCCAGGTGCCATCCTGGGACGCTCGGAGACGCAGGAGTGCGCCTACTACAACTCCAGCTGGGAAAAGGAGCGCACCAACCGCAGTGGCATCGAGCCCTGCTATGGCGAGAAAGACAAGCGGCGACATTGCTTCGCCACGTGGAAGAATGTCTCTGGAACCGTGGAGGTCGTCAAGCAAGGCTGCTGGCTGGATGACGTCAACTGCTACGACAGGTACACAGGAAGCAGCCAGAGATACAGGCATCCAGCAAATGATAAATTACCAACATTACCAAATCAAAGTCAGGCCTTCAGCAGGGCTTTGAAAAAGTCAGGTAAAGTGTCCCTCAAACCAGCACACCCTGAGGCAGGTTGGACTCTGAATACACCTAAAATCTCCATGAGCACAGTTTTTGTCCCTCTGCGTGCTTCTCCACCTGAATGCCTTGCACATCAGCACAGAATAAGGAAATATAAATTGCTTAGTGAAAATGGATTCAGCCTGATTGTGTGTATCCAAGCCCAGAACAATAAACAGTTAATGTAATTAATAGAGCGTATTATTCTAGTTTCTTCCTTGCTAGAACATCCACCTAGCATCAGATGCTGGTTACAGCCTGCTTGTGTTTTCCTTTGATTCCTGAGCAATAAAGTTGCTGTAGATTCTGCTGCCCTCACAGTTTGGGTACCTCTGCTCAGACGGCGCCGCCTCGCCTCCCTGGAGAGTCCAGAGCAAGTCGAGGGCGGCTGCCACTTCCTTTGGCTTCTATCTGATGACTGTGTGAGTGTGAAAGTGAGAGAGTGAGTGTATGTGTGAGATTGTTAGTGTTACATGTGCGTTTGTTTGCATGTGTGTATTGGCGGCAGAGGGATTGGAGAGGAAGGAGAGGTGTGTGTGCGCCTGTGTGTGCGCGTACTTTTTTAGAAAACATTGTGTCTCCTGCAGTGAGTGCATGGAAAAGTGTGTAAGCGCTTGCTGCTTCATTTGTGCAAAAGTGTTTTGTCTATGTGTGTGCACTCACATGCACTTAAAAAATTAAATTGGTTCTATGTCCTTAGCAGTGTGCAGGGAGGAAAGAGAGAGATTTGGGAGTGTGTTTTTTTTGTTTCTCATTTCCACCTCCATGTCCTCTGCAGTAACGAGTGTGTGGAGAGGAAGGAGAGTCCTGACGTTTTCTTCTGCTGCTGTGAAGGCAACATGTGCAACGAGAGGTTCCTGTACGCCCCTGATGCGCCCCCACAGAGTGACCCGCACCATTCAACTGCCTACAGTATGTACAGTCCCGCATGCATGCACACACACAGATATAGTGCACTGAAAATGTCAGTGTTTATTTTAATGTGCAACCACACCTTGAATTGATTCTTTGGTCTGAGTTTAAAAGTCAGCATTTAGATATTATTTGTATTTTAAGGTTTACACCACTCTATTACAGATGAACAGGGTTGCGTATCGTTTTAATTTTATCTATTCTGATTCTTCTTATCAAATCCGGTTCTTATGGAATCTCGGTTCTGATTCCTTAACCTCATATCTTAATCGCTCTGTGACCTTCATCCTGTTCCTCCTTGCTCATCTTCCCCCTCATGGCTAAGGTGAAAGGAGTCTCTGTACTAGAGGGCCGTCTCTGGGGACTCATATCTAAGAAAAATATATATTAGAATCATTTGTAGACATCATTCATTTGCCTTCAGTATAAAAGGTGAATGTCAACTCACTTGTGTTTTGTACCTGAGCGTGAGACGTTGCTACTGTTAGCATTAAGCAGATAAGTGACACTTTTATGGACTGTGAAATGCTGACTGAAATATGCAAAAAAGGGAGGGGGGGGATGAGGATGAGCAGCATCCAAATGCATGTGTCTTAACAATTCCACGGTTCTTGGAAATCTGGTACCGATTCCAACTGGGAACTGGTTCCAGATACCCAGCTGTACAGATGAACCAGGAGTTACCAACAAAAGCAATAGTGGGAAAAGTAACTTTTCAAAGTAACTTGTTGCCTGAGCACATATGTTTAGCTGAATTTTTCTGAAGTTAGATGTATATTTAACTTTCTTCTACCGTCTCGAAACACTGATGCAACATCCAGGCTTTTACATTGAAGACACAGTCCTCCACAAAGTGTGTGATGTAAGATACTGGATGTTTGCCAGCTACTGAGCTTCCAGGTGTTCAAGGCTTATAAAATATTTAAGGATTTGAGGAAGGATAAATAGAAGTAACAAAAGATTCAAAAAGACGTGTGCTTTAGTTGGTGCAGGCAGAGTTGAAATGGCAAAGTTCTCACCTGGATAAAATGAACTAAATGATTCTTGATAAATATAATGCCCAGGATAAAACATAATATATATTAAAATCTGATTTGAAATTTAGTGAACATATTGCAGTTAAATCCATATCATTGTCAACCACTGACAAAAGTGTAAGCATGTAGTGTTATATTCATATATTTATACTTGCCAATGCGTTATAGTATAATGTAGTAGGCCCAAAGCACTGAACCTACTATAAAACCAAATAATCAATAAGAGTCAGCACAGTGCCTGTTATCACTCAATAAAGTGAATGCCCAACATCAAGCAACAGATGAAACATTACTGAAAGACAGATAACAATACTGAGAAGACTAAAATAAGCTCAAAACAGAGACAATTAGCAAAGGAGTTATTTACCACAGAATTTACAATAATAGGTGTGTTTCAGATGGATTTGAGAGCTAGCTCGGAGTAAAAAAGCTGAGTGCTTGTGTGCATTCACCAGCCAATGGCAGCTCTGGTGTCCTTGCACTTTTGACTTTAGCTAAATTGTCCAACAGGCCAGTCTGTCTCTTAGTATTCCTTTTTAATTTGAATTCCTGGAACCTGCAGGACACCCTGTAGAGAAGAACCTTTCACATTTTTTTCTGGCAATCGCCTCTAGAGTCCCATGATGCAGTTGGTGCAGCCCCATCGGCCCCTACCCAGTTTCTCCCCTTGCTTTTCACTGCCACCCCAGGGACGGCAGTGGCAATCGACGGCCAAGCGTGAACGCTTTGACAGCCCTGCCGAATCAGACTGTCACACCTTGTGATGGGAGGACAGGCTGAGCCAGCAGGCGACTCCCACAGGGGTCGGACACAGTTCAGAGTCCGTTATTTTTGGCAGGCGGATTACGTTATGTCACGAGATGTATTTGCTAATCCGTGTGTGTGTGTGTGTGTGTGTGTGTGTGTGTGTGTGTGTGTGTGTGTGTGTGTGTGTGTGTGTGTGTGTATTGATATGATCCCAAAACACCCTGGCAGTAAGCTGAAAGCAGGGTTAGTGCTGCACTTACTGATGATGTAGCACAATGTCAGGCCAATCCGGCATCCTTTTTTTATCTTTCTTTTTTTCTTTCTGTTTTCTCCTTGACAATGTCCATCATTTTTGATATTTCATTGCTTTATTTTTCTTCCTATGAAGATATAATAAGCCAGTCAAAAGTCATATCAAATTTTTCTTCTTCTTCCCACAACCCTCTCTATTTCTCTCCACACAGCCACCTCCAACCCATTTTCCCAGAAGCCCCAGCTCTTCAGCACTCTGCTTTACTCGCTGGTTCCCATCATAGGCCTGGCCGCCGTTGTCCTCTTCTCTTTCTGGATGTGGAGACATCACAAACTGGCCTATCCAGCTGCCCTCGTCCCCACACATGTAAGTCTCACCAGCAGGGTGAAAACGTGTAAATCCCTTCACCACTTTTTTTGTCTTCATGTTTGGTCCACAGCGCTCATCACTGTAGTGCATTTGCAGAGGTCACCTGTCAATCAAACAGTGGTGCAGGGACTGGGGTGACCTCTTTCTTTCAAAGTTGCTGATGATGCATTTAGAGTTTCTCTTTTTGTCTGTTCAGCTGTAGTGGCCATCGTGTCTATCTTCGTCTGTTAATTGCAAACAAAAGGGAAATGTAAAATGCATCAGTTGCAGGGGGGCAAATGATTTCTTTCCTGGAAACACATACTGTAAGTGCAGTGGGAATAAACATAGAACTTGCAAGCAGGTAAAAAAAATCTCAAATTATTTATTGCAGAAAATGTCTTGACTCAGCTCTGGTCGATTGTGTTGATATTTATTTCCTACCTGAGTCAATGCTCATTAGTTGCTGCTGTAAAAAGACTCATGTGTTGTTTGAAGTTTGCAGCATGAAACAGTAGAAACATTGTACTCTGCCGTCTCTATTTAACCAACCTTCAACTCCACAGCTGATCTAGTTTCTCAGTGGGCTGAAACAGCCTTGGCCTTTCCTGCCCCGTGCAGCAGAGGGACAGAGTTACGGGCAGCCAGAGCAGACACACTGTGTGGAGAGTTTACGTTGGGATAATTGCTTTTTCAGTTTCTTCTTTCAAAGTTGTATAGAAGGACAAGATGAGCCCTGCTTCTGTCTGTATCTTTTTTCTTTCTGAGTAAACACTTCCCAGACTTGCTTTTAATTCGCCAGACTAGTGTTTGGATATGACTGTAATTGGGACAGTTCATATTGTGCCAGAAAGGCATTTAATCACACACAAGTTGTTAGATTAATATTTATTTTCTTAAAAACTTTTAAGTGCACATAGGGCTGATTAGGTTAAAATAATTGTTGGCAAAATAGAGACCCACACTGGAAAATCTCATATCTACACTTTTGATCCATTTCATGTCTTCACTTGAATTAGCCATGTTTCATCACCTTTGTAAACATTTTCTCAAATCTCCTTTTTTGTAGGACTGAGAATAAGGCTGCTTTTCCAAACTCCTGATTCATTTCGTTTTTCACAATTCCGAGGCGGTTTTAACCCGACAGCAGCAGAGCTATATTCTCTGCTGCTCGGCAGCAGGGGAAAAAGAAAACCCATGCTGAGCTTCCACCTTATGGAAGAGGAGTCAGGGGCCTCTGCATTATTGATGAGGCTTTATATAGGCAAACAAAACTAAACACAGAGACACTCACAGCTTTGCCTGGTGGTGGTGGGTGGATGGGGAGTGCGTGGGAGGAAGAGAGGAGAGACATGCAATTCTCTCAACTTAGTTATTGTATTTGCACAGTGCTAAAGCATTGCAGGGAAGATAAAAAGACAGTGACACAATACAATCCAGAAACAAATGCTAATGTGCCTTGGAAAAACGACACTGCTAAGAGGCTTATGAAAGTCTTACCTGGAAACAGATGAATGAATAAATAAACAACATAAAACAAAATAAGATCACGACCAAAGAAGAGTGGATCAGATAACTAATGATGTCACAGTAGAAAAAAAAAACAAACAGCTAAAATATTCATAAAATCACAAGGGGAAGAAAATGAAATGAAATAGCTGGGATAGAATAAATGAAGTCAAGCCGGATGTGTGTAATCATGTGCATGTGTGCGCATGCAGAAGTGTATTAGTGCATGAATGAGTAGGTGTACAAGGACAGGAGAAGGAAAGGAGGTCACTCGTACAGGAATGTATTTAGAAGTCAACTCATGCTTTTCTGGAAGGAGGTGATGCAGTAAACCTCACCTAAAACAAACAATCACTATCTAATACACATGAAGTTGTTGTGGCGTCTGTAGCTTGTTTTGTAATCGATTAAAGCAGGAGAGCAAAGAGATGGAGGCAGCAGGAGGGGGCATGTGGAGGTATTTATTTCTATCTTCATTTTGGGGGTTGTTGTTGAAGGATGTGTTTTTTGTTGCACCACAGGCTGTATTTAAAAAAAGCTGAGGTGACTCCGACAATCATTCAAAGAGCTCACTCTTGCAAAGTCATCGAGGACGGCTTCCAGCACTTCTTGCGCTGTTGAGAGTAAAAACACACCGCAACCCACATCTGTTCCACCAGAGGTTACTGAATTACATATATATGTAATATCTGACATTTGAGACGCCTACGGTTAAAAATGACATGAAATCAAAACTAATTCCATACTGGACACACTAACATGAGAGTGGTATCAACCTTCTAATCAATCTCTTGGCAAGAAAACTTTTTTCATAAAATGCTGAACTGTTCCTTTAAGTCACTCTCCAAATGTCCAAATACACTTAACAAATTGTGAACAGCCTTTTGCACTTCTCTGTGTAAACACCACTAAAACACTTGTCAGATGCAATTTGAATAATTTGTCTAGATTTTGAAAGAGACATGAACTCATTACATTAAAATAACTCATTATTTTTCATATCAACTTTCATCAACTCAGTGAAACCTAAAAAAGATTATAGATTTTATCCAGTAGACTGGACTTTCTTTTATGTTTTATCGTGCTGGTTTCTGTACTGCATTCATCAGAGCATAATGCACTGTACTCGTGTATTTTGTAATGTGGCAGCATCAAATTGCCCTCACCTGTTGATAGTTCCTGTGTGTATGGGCAGTCATTATAGTTGTTCATCATAGGTGTTGTTAGTAACAGACAATTTTTTTCTGCCAACTATACTACTGCGTCTTCTAAAATGGGCAAAGGCCTGCATCACACTGTTCACATTTAATCAAAATCTCTAATTAAAAGGATCAGGAATGTGATTATGTCATAAACAAGCAGCTGCAGTCTGAGCAGAGCCAGAGTCAAAGGCGTTACATACTTTTTTCAGGATACTATGGCACTGAACCTTGAACTTCTTCATGCTACTGGAAATTGGCAATGGGATCATAAACTAAAGGGCTGTATTGTGATATTCAAACAACATAGATAAATGTAGAAATACACATGTAGGTTTAGAATCACATGCATAGAAACCTATCAGTCCAAAATGTCTCGTGCGGTTTTCTACATTGATTTTGATCTCAAAAGTTTGTCAGTTTGTCAAAAAGTCAGTCAAAGAAAAATGCATTAAATTATTTTCTTTGCAAAGTAATGAAACATGCAGTCTTCATGATGCAAACGTAATTGTTCCCACTTAATGATCATTAATGGATTCATTATCACGCCTCTATTCTCTAATTTTATGATGCAGGGCACTGAAGAAAGAAAGAAAGGAAGGAAAGGAAACCAACCCAGTGGAAAGAGCTCCTGCTGTACTTTCACATATAAATGTCAGCTTTATGTTGGGCCAGGCTGGTTCAAAAAAAGAAGGGGGGTTATTGAATCAAAAAAATTATTTTCCTCCACACCGTACTTCCTTTATAGACTCTGCAAACGTTAAAATGATCCAGTGCGAAACGCAGGGAATTTTATGCAGCAAAGTAACTTTATTGCACGCTGTCATTATGTCATCATCGTGGTCCATCACGGGCTGCATATTTGCTACCAATCCTCCATTATTCACACCACAGTGCCAAGTGGAGGCAAACTGGAATTGATTCTGTCTGAGTACACAGACCCACAGCTTTCACACCGAGAGGCCTGGAGCACTTAAACATAAGTCCATTTTTCGACCTGGACCCTATTTTCTTATCTCTATCCATCTCGCAGATTGATTCTGACCAAAATCTCATCAATTGCTTTATTATGGAGCTACTTGCGTCTTGTTTGTCTGGGTGCAGCTTTCCAAAGAACTACTAAAAGGCCAGTGGTCACCAAATGTCCTGAAAAGCCTGTAAATCCCTTTGATTGCTCCAAAATGATTTTGACACGTTGTTAAAGAAATAAAAATTATGACGTCTGAATTGTGATTGTAGTTTCACCACCTGCTATTTTGTCTTTGCTCTCAGCTGTTCTGCACATGTTGCCATGTGAAATTCCAATGAATTCTATACAATACAGAGCAAACAATGACACAGGTTGAGAAAGGCCTACTTTTTTGTATTTGAGATAGTTGTTTTTTTTCATACTTACCTATGCTTTAAATCTCCTCAGCGAGGGACTTAAATTTGCTTTCTTCCCCTAACATTTATTTTTGTTCCATATAGATGTGTATCAAACTTAAGAACTTATTTGGGATCGGGCGAAATGTGCAGATACCACTTATCCTTTGATCACATAAGGCTACGTTCAGACTGCAGGCCAATGTTGCCCATATGTGACTCAAATCTGATCTTTTTCTGACAGTGTGAACAGGCCAAGTCACATGGAATCTGATCTTTTCCAGTTCGGAATTGGGCCACTTCCATATGTGGTCCAAACCGATACAGATCAGACCTCAGTCTGGACACTCAGGTCGCATTTAATGTGACTTACGGTGCATCCCCACCGAAAGCAAATCCAGCATTTTTGGCGGCTTGATTACATACAAAGTCAATGCAAAGACACCGGGTGGCATGAAATAGGCGTTTTTTGCGCAATTTGCTGGTTCGCGCGAGTTAAAATTTTTCAACTTGGGAGAGAAATTCGCTTGACGCGATGTTGCAAAAGCCTATCAGCGGTGAGATTGTCCATAACGTCACCGGCGGCTTCGGAGCATTGTTTGGAGAGGACCAGGCAAGCGGTGTAATGACCAAGCGGGAAGCTTCCGCTCTACAATATGAAGCGAATGCGGAAGTCCCTGAAACCTGCATTCTATTGAAAATCCAGCAGGGGGCGACTCTTCTGGTTGCAAAAAGAAGTCCGGCTCCATTAGAAATAATGGGAAAATTACCCTACTTCTCAGCTGAATAATTACCCCAGTAAACACTGTCCTGATGAGTTTATGGTCTCAGTCACTAGTTTCAAGTCTTCTTCAACACAAAATGATGTTCATTTAGTAAATTATGGTCCTTTTTTATTTAAAATAGACCACAAAGCAGAGTATGTTTCAGGGCGGGGTTATCTATGATTGACAAGTCGTTACCATGGTGACCTGTCAATCAGGCTAGAGCCGACTCGTACTCTCGGCGCTGTGTAAATTTAACCAGCGCCGTTGAAAAAGCTTATTAGGAGTTGGCTGTTCACTTTCTCTGGTGAGTACATTTAGTTTTAAGACTGTTGTTCGCTAGACAAAGTTATCAGCCCTGTTAAAATGACAGTTAACGTGAGTTACAGTTGCACCTAGCTAAGCAAGCTAGCTAGCTCCGCACACGGCTGTTAGCTCCGCCGTATCGTCACTTCCAGGCACTTCCTGGTTGCAAAAACTTGACATGGCGGCGCCCTGTCGGCCAAACTCGAGGCTTCAAAACGGCAGTCCACAAACCAACGGGTGACGTCACGATGACTATGTCCATTTCTTATATACAGTCTATGGTAATGACAGACGGGGAGCTGCTAAAGAACAGGGAAGTGGACGGGGAGTAGCACTGCAGCTTTCGGAAAAATAAACACCTGTTAGTAGTCTGAATTCAACTACGCCGTTTACCAGCGGGAGGAGGTCAGAGTTAATGCCTCCAGCATTCACACTATTGTTATCCAAATCTTTATTATTATTCTTCCGTACGTTTTTCGCAACGTTTCAACTCCTCTCTACTTTGTGCTACAAAAACCATTCAGCTATCAAAATGTTCAGCTTTTTAAGGACATGTGGGCTTGTATATAACTCTTTTCTACCTTTTTATACTTTTTAAACTATTAAGCTTTCAAAGCCTACTGCTTCTGCATACTTTCAGCTATTTTGTCATTTCAACTGTAAAATGTTCACAAATCTTTAAGCTATTCAGCTTGTATTCAACTTTTGATATCTTACTTAGGTTGATACTTTTTCCACTATCGCGATTTTAGTCAGGTAAAGAATTCAGGCTTTTTCTGAGTTTATAATGGAAGCGGATGAGACAGAATGTTCAGAGCTAGAGCACGTGATGTCATCGCTAGAGGGCAGCCAGCTTGAGAACTCATCGTAAAAAATAATTTTTAAATCGCTGGCCTGGCCACAATTTTAACTCTTCAGGCATCAATGTATGCTAGAAATGTAGGTATTTTTGTTGTGGTTCCTCACATGTGTTTAGTAAATCCCTCAGACTTATAGATTTGTCTCTGTGTCCTTCCAAAGGACAAGAGTGACAGAAAATCCTCCATAGGCTTCAATAATAAATTCTCCTCAACATTTCTTGACCAGAGCAGAACATACCAGTTTTTCAACTCGCCAAAGTGGTCCCTTTTTTCAACTTTATCCAAACAAATAATATATCACATCTTTCGCAAAGGCTGCTGCAGACGGTCAGGTCATTTCGCCGATACAACCTACAGTTTTGTCTCTGGGCAGGTTTGTTTGAGGCAAAATCTGAGAGAGATTTTGCCATCTGTCTATAAAGGATAGCTGGTTGCCCAGGTGATGTTAATAAGCAGAGAGAGATCAAAGGGAGACACACACGCACAC